CCTTTCTTTTTCTTCCTCCGCAACCTCTTCCCACTTTTACCCGAACTCTGGAACTTCCTAGAACCGAGTTATGAATATGGCAAAATGGTTCCGCCCACGTTGGTGCACGCCCCACCCACCAAGCAGTTGACCTCCCTTCCGTTGACGGACTCATTCACTTTTTTCCCGGTCTCCAGGACTTCTTGGAACCGAGTTATGAATTTTCGTCGCAAACTCCGCCCACTTTGGTCATGCCCCGCCCACCGATGACAGTTGGCCTCCACTCCTCCACCCACCTCTATCCACCTTTTTCCGGCTCACTAAGACTTTCCGGCCCGAATTATGAGGACTTGTAGAAAACGCTGTACACTTCAGAGCGCGCTCCGCCCATTGTGGGCGGGCCTCCGCCCACGTCATGTATGCTGGGAACACCTTAGACATTGCTCCCCTACACCAATTTGTTTTCTGCTCTGTAGGCTTTCTCCCAACCGAGTTATGAAATTTTTCATAAAGCACTGCTTTTTTGGAGAACGCCCGCCCACCGGGGGTGGGTCTCCCTAATTCGATCTGACTTACCAATGCACACCTTTACCTACACTTTTTCCCCAGTTTCGAGGCTGTTTTGGTATAGTATCTGAAATCCTGGTCGTCAGTACCACTCATTTCGATGCACGCCACGCCCACTGTAGGCGGGCGCTTAGCTGCTGTCTGTTTTGTACTTCGCGAGACCTTGCCCACACCTTACCCGGTCTCTCCAGGCCGATCCCCAGGAGCTAGGGAATTTCGTGACAGACACGTAGAACGACAGACGAAACGCTTTGTAGTAACTAGGATTATTGTGGGTAAGTGTGCGGAATTCAACCAACGTCGTGTTTACGAAGAATTGTATAGCAACTGAAGCAGTAAATACCTATTTGAACCACACAACAGTAACTGGGGAAGTTGCACTTAGACGCTCACATGTGTTGAACACATTATTATGTAAATGTAAACGAGTTTCTTGCTGAATTCAATTGAAACTTGTCACAGAATACGCGGGATCTGTCATATGATATGCATTTTGGCTCTACCCTGGTTACCGACAGCTGACCAAGAGATAATTCATGATAAAATTTAAGAGATTTTAGCCGCATAATCTGGGTTCTTGTCAAGGACTGGAAGATTAACGGTTCTCTAGATCTGTAATGAAAAAACTCACCCCATCGGAAATAAAGCGTGACGTCGAGAGTTGAGTTCTGCGCGAAGAATATTATCGGAACGTTACGCCCTACGGAGAGCATTCGACGGAACCAGTGAGATTTACAACAAAATCTGAAGGGTGATTATTAAACTCCACCTCAGCAATTCACGTTTTGAATGGATCAATTAAGCACTCCCTCCACACAGCTGACTGGCTGGCTGTTACGAGGAGATTCGTCAAATTCACTCAACAACTTGGGGTTTATCTGATTGCGAGTGGCGATATTTTTACCTCACAATTTCATGCTGTTTGTCATGATGTATACAAATACCCATATCCGCATAACTCGCTCGCATGTTCTTCCAACCATGTTTATCCGGGCGCATCTACAGATTTGAGCTTGCGATGGTAAGGGGGTGTAGGGGCAAGTAGGCACCCTTTCCCACGCTTATGACTGGAGGTCACATCTCAGATGCCGAATTTTGTAACTTTGGCTTAAGCCAAATCTTTTTCATCCTTTGAGGACGGTCCAGCCCTGGACAGTCCAAACTTGTCTGGAGAAGCTAAAAAGATCACTAATTTTCAAAATAAGTAAGCTATTTTTTTTTTTTTTTTTTTTTTTTTTAACTTTTTTTTTTATTTTTTCGCATAAAAGGGTGTGGGAAACGACGTTCAAGTTATGAATCTAAAAGGTGGAAAGCTGGTTCCTAAGAAAAGTTGAAAGGCAAAGGAAGACCAACAGCATCGAGCCCTGAAAATAGGAACCTCTTCAGGCCGCGATCAACCTCGGCGAAAGAAGGGCGTGTCAAGGGCGAGGTTTCACAGAAAGCCTGTGCCTCTCAGTCTAGTGAACCGACCGGATGGAAGGCAAGGTGAGCTGCGCCTAAATCCCGGTAGCGTCCCTCTGATGATGCTGCGTTATGAACAAACTTTCGCCCCAGTAGGGACTCAAACCCCCACCTTCCGCTTGCCGTACAAGTGTGCTACAAGTTCCTACAAGTCCCACCTAGGGCGGCAGCTTTGTTAGTAGAACAGCATTTCTGTGTGCAGATATTCGCAACGAGAACTGCAATTAAGAACAGTAGGCAATTGCAATTTACCAGTCCCCCTGGTGGGCTATCCATATCGCCTTGAGTTCGCATAGATGTCCAAAAAAGCCCCAACGTTTTATTGAAGGAAATCTATTCCAGAGATCTGCTGGACAGCTAGTTGACCCCGACATGTGGCTGAATTACCTGTATCCGACTGGACGAAAATCGCCACCCATCTTCATTTCCACCGCTGTTCTATAACACCCTTCTTGGCAGTCTCCTTTAACGGATTTCAAACCAATCATAACTCGACGATTGGGAGGAGCCTGTAATATGGAAGTAATAACCTAAGCGGTCTAGCTCTGCAGATCCCCTGGAACGACACTCACCCTGATATGGTAGACAGCACTTCCGCTCGTGGCCCTGCTGAAGTGAGTCGAATTCTCATTCTGGTCAACGATGAAGTGGTCGGTATAAGGCCGCCACATTTGATCGGAGCTGATGAAGCAATCAGTTGGCATACGTCTCCAGCAAAACCTGTCGGACATCTGCAAAAGGTTTCGGTAGGGAATCTGATGAAAGCAGGGTTCAGGAAAGCTCACTTGCAGAGGGTACAGTTCCTGGGATCCACGTAGCCTCCATTCAAACAGCGTGGCTGGTTCTCTGTTGCATTGCAGGCATCTGAATAAACACAACCAGGGTTTCAGATTCTAAAGCAGTAGAAATACAGGGAGGGGGAGCAATAAAAGAAGACATTTTGTCTCCAGACTCAAATGAATTGAATCAGGATCAGCAAAACAAGCGTGCTCCAACTTAGAATTGAAGAGCGCATTTCATTTCATAAGAAAATCTTCATAGTGGCCATCTACGTGGACGGCATCAGAAAAGTTTGCCCCGGAAACATGGTGCTCTGGTCGAGCTCAATGGGGTTCTCGACTGATCGTGTACCGTTACGACGGGTTCCGAAGGGCGGTTCCTAAGAGCTTCAGGCTGAAGCAGTTACTGTAGGCCTCCTTGAGCTCGACGACGGTGACAGATGACGTCATATTCTGAAGACGGTGAGGGTAGTGAAGGAGGGCCTGCGTGTACTTATAGAGGGACATTTAGGGAATATTTTGCTGAGGAACTTCCGTCAACGACGGCAATCTCTGCGAAGAAAAAAGGCCGAAGTGCGACCTGGGCAAAATGTCTTTTTTTGGCCCCCCTGTATATCATAGCCTAATCATCACTTACCATGACAGGAATAGTGTCTGTTAATAATCTGAACATCCAGAAAAGAAGGCATGTCCATAGACCCCATAGTTCCTATGTAATCTGGGTTTTTAGCAGTGAGTGCGTTAAGATATTGGTTATCAGAGAACCTGAAAATTGTAACAATGTCACTGGAGCCCTAAGCAATCAGTAATAGAGCGATCACCTACTCGGTTGGAGTGTAATGCATGACGCTCCCGATGTCGTACGGAAGCCCGTAGGTGTCGAGATACTTGCTTGGGATCTGACAAATATATGTTGAGCAGCGAAGAATAAAAGAGGATAACTAGCTGAAAACCACCTTTGCAAAATTTAGCCAGTATCTAAATTGTACGTTTTCTTCGATGAACGTAACGTAGTCATCGCGATCGTAGCGCTGTTGATGGTGGAACAGACCGAGGGCATGAGCGATTTCGTGCGTGGTTATGCCAAACTGAACATGCAACTCTTGGGAACTTAAAACCTCTTGGAAAAAAAAAAAGAAAAAACTGAACTTCTGAGGCATGTGTTTCAAAGATGAAAAGTGGAGGTTACGATAAAAGCCAGCTCACTAGAAATCAAAGTAGAGGTAGTCAGTGATGCAAGGGATGAGGAAAAAACATCAAAAAACGGTCTAGAGCCCGAGAAAAGGGTTCCCCGCCCCTTTGTCCATAGATTTGTGCGTTAGGCGTGCCTTATCGGTGCTGATCTCATCAACGCTAACGCTCTCTTACTACAGCGTCTAGAGTCAAACGACGAGGAGTGGGCGGCAGTGGCGCGGGTACGGCCCTGCAAAGACCCTCACTACACGTGCTAGGTTTAAACGCACCGATAGTGGCGGCAGGACGCGGTTACGCCCTGGAAAAAACGCCTTTGGCAGACCTACACTCTCTACTCTTCAGCGCGATACCTGCAACGTTCTGCACCTCCGGCATCTTTCGGGGATCCACTTTCCTTTTCACTGGGCTTCCCGGGTGTGGTTCGTTACAACAAAAGCCTTTTTTCGCTTCTCTCAGCGCGAAGCTCCCCCCCCCCCTACAAGAACCCAAGTCTACTTTTGATCAGTGGGGACCTGAGGGTACCCGCAGTGAAAAAAGTTTCTCGCTGCGAAAAGCGAAAAGTCGTTTTTTGTTCTAGCGAACCATACCCAGGCTCCCCTTCTTCGACTTTCGGCCTTATCTTGGAATCTTCTTTAGCACATTGGCAATTGCCCATTGCCTCAGCATCTTTTTGAACAGTTTTTTTGAAGCATCGTCTCCTCCAAGAATTTCGCTACTGGACATAGGCGTACTGATTCCTGAATCAGAATGTGTAGACGGACGGCTTTGGATCATGTAGAATACCAAATGATTCAAGCAACGCAGTCTGACGCGTATGCGCGTCACGCTAGCGTCGATGTACTCGGAAATTACTACATATTGATACCTCAGTAAGTGCGGATTGTACACTCACCTTTCTAAAAATGAAACCATCTGTGGTATTTCGAACTAATTATGAAGGTGAGCAACAAGACTGCTGAAAATCGTAAAACTGTAAGCTAACCGGATCGGCAGATCAAGTCCCGCTCTTATGTTCCCATTTTCCTACCCCTTATGTCAATTCTGTGAAATAGAATGATGGTAGCGCAATACAAAGTAGCGATTACAATATGTCCTGTGGGGGACACAGATGGGAGTGGGAATGTTCAGTGGTAGGGCTGTGGCTAAAAGGGTAGAGAAAGTCGTTAAGAAAACACAAAACGGTGCCGGTTAGGTTATTGATTTCCACTTATGAAAGAGCAGACAAGTTAAAGGCAGTGATTACGATAATTTCAAGAAGGTTTAGAGGGTGGTGCTCAATGGTACGTCAGTGGCGAAAAAGCGGAGAAATCCGTCAAAAAAAAATAAAATGGGACCCCCTTTTTGGCCTTTGGTTTTCACTCATGAACAGGTGACAGCTCAGAAAGGAGCTGTCACCTGTTCATTAGTGACAACTAAGAAACCAATGGTATGAACGAGTTCAGCGCAACGCGTTTGGTGGCACCATGCCAAACCACGCTCCAATCGAGTTGCTCCAGTTGTGCCGCTGCTGGCAACGCAGCTCGTCCAAATCACCAACTAAACTAGTGGGCGGATCGCTTTTGGGGGCGGAGTGCTTTCGAAGTCCTGCTCAGCAACCAGCGCACCTTTCGTCGTGAAAGCGCTACACCTCGCTTCCCTGGCAGCCAAGTAACTGATTCGTGTGGTGCATATGCTTCCCCGATGCGCTCCCTCTTTATCGTAATCGCTGCCTTTAAGATAATAATAAAGGATCAAGCATTTGGCGCTGACCAAAGCGTTTCAAAAATTCTGCTCAGGAAAGAAACCCTCACATGCTGGCATCCTCTGCCGATATTCACCGGTTGTACCGGTTGGCTGTTGTCCTTTCCAACTGTTGAGAAGCATCCAGCATTTTCTGCTGCAACGTAATTAAGGATTAAACAGAAAATGTGCAGGTGAAGCATGACAAGAGCTTACAAGTGTAGAGAATGTACTGGGTTTCGTTGCTGCGCGGACGGAACGTTACGCACGTGTTTTCTTGCCAAAATTTCATTGCATTTGTGAGACTCAACTCAGATATATTTG